GGGGGGGGGGGGGGGGGGGGGGGGGGGGGGGGGGGGGGGGGGGGGGGGGGGGGGGGGGGGGGGGGGGGGGGGGGGGGGTCGACGCCACTCTTGTACCTTCCCAACTCCATTCTCTTGCTCCAAATTCGACTCCTCACAATATGCTTGGTGTTTCACATGTGGTCCGAGGTTGTCGTTGTCGAGGAAGTTGACATCGTGGTAAACTGTACGACTACATGTAGTGACGGGCTGAATTGTACATAGCCGTTGGGTAGGAGGTTACGGCAACCCGCATACCTCCGCCGCATCGACGTCAATCACATACATAGCTGTGGAAAGTTTAGCCATTTTCCGGTTTGATCTGTTGCTCCTGTAGCTTGAACATGCCCCCGAGCTTTGACAGAGGAGGACATGCTGGGCAATTTAGAACGAACTAGGCCGACGCATGTGTAATGGTTCCACCTGGTCCACTTGTCCATTCGTTCATGCCTTCACCGACTGGCAGCGCGGCGGCGCGATCTTCCAGGAGAAATGGGCAACGCTTGTGTTCAACGACTTCGTCACGTTCACGTCCAACAAATGCCTCGACGTGAGTGTTTCCGGCACGAGCCAGGATGGCAATGACGGCACTATGTAGCATGAAGAACAGCGCGTGATCTGCTGTAAGGGTCGAAGTATATAGTAGATGGGCAGCCGCGAAGGAGATGGCGGAACACAAAGGGTTTCATTTCAAACATGTGGCGTTGCCTTCAACTACGTAGACCATTCAACCTAAGAAGTTGCGAGGGCGTAACCCGGGAATTTTCATGATTTGACGATTGGCCACTTCATTGGCCCACGAAACATGCATGCCACGTATGAATATGAATAAACAGCATCCAATGACGCCTGGGCGAATGCTCTCCCGACGAGGCTGAAAAATCGCCCTCGTGGCTATTCCACCCACAATGTCGCCAACCCAATGTTGATGGGTGCACGAGCAAGTCGCCCCACTACCGTGCTTGCGATCCGCTTTTTTTTGCCATTCTGTGCCGCCCACGGCTACTGAAGAGTCCACAGCCGTCGCCTACAGTTGACGTCGGGATTGTCCTGTCCATGAGTACCACAAATGGTGGCAACCTCGAAACACAAGCGTAGATCCGGGCACTCCGTGTTGATAACATCTTGAGGGATGCCATTGTGAGCTGAATGGCCACGGATCGCATCACATCACCTCGAGGTTATTCCCATCCCCTTCCCTCACCTGTACATGGCCATCTTGCAGACTTTTGGCGGGACCATCGCCAACATCGGCGGCGACGTCACCGCCAATGCCGGCAGCCTCTTCTTTGACGGTTTCGCCGAAAACTCGGGGGATGGCGGCTTGGGGGGCGCAATCTACAACTACGGAGGCGGCATCGTCAAGTTAGTACGAACAACGCGTGGACAGGGAAATAATGCCGATCCATCACAAGGACGATCCCGCCTTGTGTGGTGGTGAACTCCCGATAGGCGCCTGCGAGACGTACGCAACTGAATAAGGAGGCTTCCTCGTCCGTTTAACGTCCCGCCTGATCTTTTGAGAGGCTGTCTATCGTGCGATCGATCGGATTCCTGCAGAGATAGGACGATACAAGCGTCTCTCAAGACCAGTTTGCTACCCCCGCTATGTTAATACGGTGCATTTCCAGGCTCACGGGCTCGACCACGTTCAGGCAGAACTACGGTAACTGGGGGGGTGCCGTCTTCAACTCTGCGGTGCCGAACGCCTACTTCACGGCCGAGGACGAAAGCTACGTCATGCCGACAATAAGCTACCCTGAGGACACTATCTTTGAGGACAACGATGCACAGGTAGGTACATTATGTGTGATTTATCCTTCTTGCTGAAGGTCGAATTGGCTTCGTTTGTCGTCTCTTTTTGTCAGTCTTGCCGCTCTCCAAGTGGCTGTCGCCAGTCACGGGATATTTCGGCGAGACATTGATTTGCTGTCGCCACAGGTCGGTTTTCAGGAGCACAGTGTCGAACTAAGCGTTGTCATGACTTCCAGGAGCTGTTCAAGATTGTCGCAACCTTCAGATCTGACGACGAGATCACCCCCTTTCGTGAATACTGACTTCTATTCGCCCCTGGTGTTGTTGCTTTATCTACCCCCAAAACTCGACTTTGTTGAGTGCTACGCTCTGCCCCGTAAGCGCTTCACCGATTTTGCTGCGTCAGTGTCATATTATGTGGCCGCCCGCTCCCCAGTTGTTTCCACTTGCCATGATTTCTGACGTGTCACGCACTCGCTTCTTAACGCGATCCACTGCTCTCTGTTCCTTCTCCCCTTCACGCAGTACTGCAACGACTTCGCCTCTGACTTTGACGAGGAAACCTGTGGCCTGTAGGCTGGCCTCTACAGTAGGGAGATGGCCCCACGTGGAGACTTCTGCTGTACCGTAGGTCGGTCAGCAGCATGTTTGGTTGAGGCGGTTGAGTGCTAGGGATACTACAGGAGATTATAGATTTTACCCCTCAGTCGGCATCTCGGTGTTGTGCACGCGGAGGTTTCTAAACGTCGGCAGATGTTCCATTGAACATGAACTAACGGAGTGCTTGATTTATTACCTTGGAGAGGCGGCACCGAATCATGGTGATCGATGATCATGTCGTGGATCTTGTGTGGCCGAACGTCGGAACAGGTTTGCAATGCAAATGAAGCCCCACACGTGAACGAAAGAGTCCATAAATGCAGCATGTGGAGTCTTTGTAGGGGTCGAACAGCACCAACATGCACACACAGGTGATGAAGTGGCTGTTGACGATTCTTGTTGTCGGCCTCTACCCGCTGCATGGTGGGCAGTCGGAGGCGAAGGCGTGTCGAAGGAATGACACTCTTCTATTCGTTGGGGTCTGAACGATGGCTGCTCTCTGCAGCCTGCACAAAACTGAACGGCTAGGATAGCGCGTGCGGGCGGTTTCCGACCATGAGACAAAAATATTTTGCACAAGTGATGTAGGAGGCGAGGTATCAAAGGGCAGGAACGACAGGTCTGGCACACTCTGCTCGAGACGCCCCAACAACCGGAGCTTGGGAAATGTTGCATTGCCATCGTCTTGAGAATGCCGGACTGCACAGCTTAGCACGACCGAGAAGAGGCTATCATGGTAGGGAGTAGTCTAGACCAACAAAGAAGAGGCATAAGCCGTGCTGACCTCTCGGTTGAACCGTTCGTTGAGGTGCATTAGAAAATACTCATCACGTAAAGTGGAAATTGTCAAGGACCAGGCATCTTGATTGTTTTTTTTTTGAGCCAGGGTATTTACCCAATAAAATACATACCATTCGAAAGCTACGGACCAGGGCTTTCGAATGAACCTACTTTTAGCTTTCACAGACATGTTGGTGTCGAGTTATGTCCAATATACCGTTTCGCTGAAAACGCGGCGGAACTAAATAGTAAATCTCGATTTCCGCAGCTCATTTCCCGGGCCCCCACCACCTCTGTGAAAAAAAATGGTATGTTATCCTCGCCAAAAGTTGATTCTAGATCACCTGGTTCTGAACCCGGTTTTGCTCCAGGTCGAAATCAATCAAGAAGAAAGTTTCAACAAAAATGCTTCCCAAGTACCACTGCGAGTGTAACCCCATCGAACTTGTTTGGGGACGGGCGAAGGACTGGACTCGCAAAAATTGCACGAACAGTAGTGGAACCGATTGTCCCGCCGATTTCAGTTGACCGGCAATAACTTCATCAATAATGATTTTTTTTTTAGTATTGATCTCCATCGCAAATGCCACAAGAGTTGTTCAGGGACCAAATCAATTTGAGACGCTCCTGAGGATTCGTGGTTTTCGTATAGGTTTTTCCGGGCGTTTTCGGGAGGGAGGGGATGAAACGTTTCGTCCAATATCTCGATAAACACCATCGTAATCATGCCGTTTTTTTTTGTTTCTCGGTTGATATCGACGGGGTTTGAGCAGGCGAACGCGATGGCGCCCTAAAAAAAAAAAAAACACTCTTGACAAGTAGATATACGCATTTGAAGGGGGGCACAAGAGATTGTATCCCCCTTCTCTGGTCGCAAAACTTATCGTTTAACGCTTGATATTTCGTTGTTTTCGCTTCATCGTTGGGAAAACCTTGTTGGGAAAACCCTGTATTTACACTCGACGACACTCCCTCGCACTACTTTTTACATTTGCCAAAAACTAGTCTTCTACATACAGTACATCACGCCCAATACTACCGATCTTATCGACCGGGAGGGAAACGCAGCCGTTCGAAAAAAAACACGGACAACAAACTTCGTGGACAAACCGAAACCGACAGAAGCAATCATTCTTTCGAACCCCATGCAACGTACCGACGCTTAGCATACGTTACTTGGGGTTAACGAACTCGGATGGAGCCGGCCTACGGCGCCTCGGCCGACCAGTCACGTGCCTTTTTGTTTGACTTTGGGTAGTCGATGCAGTTATTGTACCAGCTGATGCTGGAACCATCCGCGAGGTCTGCTGTCAGCTGCAGACGATACATTTTCGGGCTCTTCACTTGACGCACACCGGTCAACGTAGAACCACGCCTAGTCAGGGCTTCCCTGATGGCCGCATGGGCCTCAGGGCGAAGCATGGAGGTCATGGGCGTGCAGTGCGTGCACCGCTAGCTTGTTTTGTTTCCAGCCGTTGGGGCTGATGTGGGCAATTTTTTGAAAAATCTTGTTTCTGATTCTTTGCGGCATGTTGTCAAAAAGGTTCGGAAATGGAACCAACGCCATAAAATAGAACAGAGAGAGAGCGTCATTCGCCGTAGTTGTCGAGATATGGAGGATTCAGTGGAGTAAAGTACCTTCGCTGGCGATGGTAATAGGTCCATAACTCTTGATCCAGAGCGGACCCACCGCTTTTGAACGGCTTATTCGAAAGCTACTGGCGAGAGCTTTCCAACGCACATTTGTTTGTCACCCAATTCTTTTGACAATCCTTTAAAACTAATCACCCCGCCCATAAAAGTGGAACAATCGGTTCCACTATTTTCGTTGGAATGCTTGCGCAATCACGTGCCGCTAAGTTTTAGAGCAGAGAAGGATAGGCAGGCTGTTCCGGTAGTCCAGGGCTAGACCACTGCAAGAAGGCATATATATACACACACGCCCTCATGTACCGCGAGACGCGTGTGGAAGGGCCTGAAGGCAAGAAGACGTACAAGAAATACAAGTCACACAGGCGCCCGACCCCGGAGGAATGGAGAAAGTAGATGGATGGCGCATTCTTGTTCGTTGAGGTGAACTTTTTCAGGTTTTTCCCCATGTTTTCTGGAGGGAATGTTGTACAAAAAAAGGATGTTTTTGTCGAAAATAGGCAATATTTACAACGGAAGTACGTTGGCGGGGGATACAAACACGCTATAGGCGCGGCAGAGGCATTTGTGAAGTGGTTGGGGGTCTTCCGGTACACGTGTAGGTGGTTTGGCGAGAAAAGTAATAATCCGCTGTAAGAAAATATATGGGTGAAAAGCTGCTGTAGGGCCTAGGTCGAGGGTTCGAGACCCGCCGCGAGCACTTTTTTTATTCTTCTTTTTTCTGGTGACTCGCTACTATTTTGCGCCTTGCGGCGGGCGTTCCAAAACTGTCTCTTTTTTTGTTTTTTATTCGATCTCAGTCAAAGGTTGTGGAGGGACAACCAAAATCGGGCCCGTGACAAATTACCACTTATTATATAGAAAAGACCTGGACACACACAATTCCTCCCCTCCCCGGCCTGCTCCCCGGCCGGGGCCGAAATCGACCTTGTGAGTCCCTCGCGGGCGAACCAGGCCACAACAGATAGTAGGTGGGTGGTGTCCCAAGGTGCAACTCACCGCCGCGCTGGCTCAGCGTGGCGGTGAGGATGCACAGACGGTGGTAGTGGCGAGAGGTGTATGTGGACCTTGTCCCCGCGGCAGCAATGCAAAGCGGCAAACTGCACCTGGTAACCACCGTCGCGGAAAACGTGGCCCACGAAGCTGGAGGAGCAGAGAGATTCGTAAAAACCACGCGAGTAAGCACCGTTCGCGGGAGAAGGGAGATAACCGCGGGCGACG